ACCCAGGATTCTGTATTCTCAGGTCATTGCTCTTTTCACGATGCTATGCCTGTTATGCTTATTATTCACTGAGATATTACATAAATAACTAGAAAACTAGCCTGGTGGTTGGACAATCTTAAACAGTTATCACTTTTATTCATGGTCTATTTAAAGAAGGAACCAATTAAACAGCAGAGCAAAAAATGAATGATGGCAACGAAGAAGACTCAGTGTCAGTGGAAACAAATACTTTTCTTCTTGCATCCAACCTGCTATCATTTCCACGTTTATATAAGGTGCTGAAGGGTATTTGGCCAAGTATGATACCATGAGCCAAGGTGATTATGATCACAGGCTCTAGCAAAGTCCTACAGTAACTGTCCAGATTTTATTTGTTTTGAAGAATAGTACCTACTTGAATGGCCTTGATTTCCTAAGAAGAACTTACTTAAAATAGTCTGAGAGGCTGGATATGATGAGGTCCATAAATCTATCAACATGTATTTATTAAGTACCTACTAAGTGCTAGGCATTATCAGTCAACCTTCATTTATAAAATGCCTACTATGTCCCAAGCATTGTGCTAAGCACTGTGGATACAAAAAGAGGCAAAAGACAATCTTTGCCCTCAAAGAGCTTGCAACCTAATGGGAAAGACTACAGGAAAACAGGTATGTACAAACTATCTGTACAGGATAAATAGGAAATAATTAACAGAGGGAAGGCACTAGAATCAAAAAGGGTTGGGAAAGGTTTCCCATAGACAGATTTTAGTTGGAACTTAAAGGAAGATAGTAGGTAAAAAGATAAGGAAGGAAAGCATTCCAGACTTGGGAGGAAAGCCTAGAGATGGAATGTCTTGTGTGTAGAACATCAAGAAGACCTTATTACTTCATCAAAAATACGTGTCAGGAGATAACGTACAAGAAGATTGGAAAAGTAGGAGGGGCTAGGTCATGAAGGGCTTTGAACACCAAATAGAAAGTTTTCTACTTGATCTTGGAGGTGAGAAGGAACCACTAGAGTAGGGGGTGATGTCATCAGACCTTTAGGAAAATCACTTTGGTGGCTGAATGGAGAGGATGGAATGGAGAGGGGAAAAACTTGAGGCAGGCTGATCCACCAGCAAGTGACTGCAACAGTCCAGGCATGAGGTGATGAGAGCCTGCACCTGAGTGGTGGCAGTGTCAGAGCAGGGAACCTATTGGAGAGATGTTACAAAAGTGAAATCAACAAGCCTTGTCAATAGATTGGATATTAGGGAGAGAGATGAGAGATAGCGAGGAGCTAAGGATTACTCCAAAGTTGTGAGCCTGAGGGATTGGGAAAATGGTGTTACCCACAACAGTAATAGGGATATTATTACATGTATTCTTGCTAGGAAGTGGGAATACAAATATGTATGACTGAAGTATAGTCTGATTAAAGCGATGAGCCTCCTTCAGTAGCCACTTGAGTTTTAACCCAGCTTAGTTTCAACAAATAGCAAAATGTTTCCAATAACGTGGATGAAATTTTAGCATATGGGTTGTGGGTGCTATGCTATCCAAAAATGAGAAATTCTTTTATTGACCTCATCTTCTTAAAATATTGATATTGGCTTTCACCCAAACATGATAAAAGTGACATGAAAATGACACATTTCTCCCAGCTAATATAGGGGTATGTGTTGTTTCTTACATATAACACCCCCATCTACCATCACCATACCTTTGCACAAGCTTGTTCTCCATACCTGAAATTCACTCTATCCTCACCTCTAACTCCAAATTTCCTTCAAAGCTCAGCTCTAAGACTACCTTCTGAGACACTTCTTAAGACCTCTCAGAAGCTAGTGCTTCTCCTACTTTCAAAATTGTTAAATATATTTTATATGCTCGTGCGTACATATCATCTAACCCAACAGAATATAAGCTCTATAAGGGCAAAGATTGTCTCATTTTTTTTGTCTTCATATGCCCAGATTCTAGCACAGTACTCAACATATAGTGAGCACTTAACGAATGCTTCTTCGGTTGGTTGGGGGGAGGGGAAGAATGGATTAATTCCAAAAGTTTAAATACTTGGGATAAAGTAGAGATTGTGGATGAAGGAGGCAAAACTGTGGCTGAAGTGTAAGCATTCAAATAGGATTTTAAATGTACTGATTCTGCCGTTGTACATTTCAGGGACAGAAGAGAAGATTAAGGAAGCAAGGGTATGGACAGATTATCAGGTTAAAAAAAAAATCTGAAAGAGGCAGTTCAGAGAGAAAGAGGAACCAAAAGCAAAGTATGTTGCTATGAAAGGTCTCTCCAGAAAGGCCACCCATTTTCCCTCTGCACAGACAATAGGAAAGATTTGTTTCTGAGTAGAGATGAAGGAAACAGAGAACTCAGGGGAAATATGTTTCCCAATTATTTATCAGGCACTCACATGAATATAAAGCTTTCATATTTTCTGTCCCTCAGGAATATATGTCTATAATGCATTTGGGGACAGAACAGAGTGACATTAATTACCCTTGCTCTTTTCCCTCTCTGGGGCCAATAGGATAGCAAGGGATCCAGCTGCTTGATTTACAATTGCCAAGCTCCTTTCATACAGTACAAGGTTGAAAATAATCATCCACAGTTTACAAAGCTACTGGCCCTGTTTAAAGTTAGATGAAGAGTACAGATGTATCTGTATTCCTACTTGTTACACTATCTCATTTGAGTTGGATGGTACATTTTGTTACTTAATATTTATAGAAAAACAGCTAGCAGTGTGTCAGAGTGTAGAAAAGGACTTGGACATTATACTGTGGCATGGTGGAGTGTGTGCTGTAGTTGTCAGAAGACCTACTTTCTAAGCCCCAGCTTGGCCCCTGGACTCTGAGATGGTGGACAAGACACCAGACCTCACTAGGTGGGAAGTTTCCTCCTCAGTAAAATGAAGATAAGACTAGATGATTTTTAAGCTTTCTTTCCAGCCCAACAGCACTCTACGACTCATATGAAACCTCTGAGCCTCAGTGTCCTCAGCTGTAAAAATCAGGATAGCAATAGCTATCCTTACTTCCCTACAAGGCTGTTGTGAGGATCATGTGAAATTGTGTGTGAAAGCACAAAGCATTAGACGTGGGTAAGTTATTAATAATAGCTAGCACGAGTATTAAAAGGAGGGGAAGAAAGAAGGAAGAAGAGGAATTCTAAATAAAAGAAGTTTGACTTAGGAGCTTAAAGTTTAGGGTTTGTGTGTCTGGGTGGAATGACACAGCTGGAAACAAACATTAAGTATTCCAATTGGAACTCCCCCCCCCCCCAGTTCTCCCCCATGCCCAAAGTCTTTGTGTGCCATCCATCTCTTCATCTCTGAGGCTTTTTTTTTATTTATTGACGTTTGCCTTTCTATAAAAGTGCATTTTGTTTTACACTGTTTGGCATGATCCCCTAGTAGACAAACCTACTGCTGTGATCTCTCTCGGAACCAATATGCTGGTTCTCAAAAAGAACCCTTTTTTTTCTTTCGGCTCTCTCTTTCTCTCTTTCACCATCTGAGGAATCCTCTCCCACTCTCTCGCCCCACCAGAAGTCTCCTGAGTTTTCAGCACCTGAATAGATTTTCCTGTCTGTTCTCCAAAGACCCTGCAGTATTTCAGAAAGGAGAGCGAGAGATCAGCAAACAAACCTTCCAGCACCTAGCTCCTTCCGGCAACCAGCTTGTGAGCCCCCCTCCCTTTTCAGTGCAGCCCCAGGGGATCTCTCCCTCTTCTCTTCCAGCAGGCAGAGCCACCAGAACGCAGGGCAGCGGCTGGCGGCGGCGGTGGTGGTGGTAGATGTGGTGGCGCCGGCGGCGGCAGCAGGAGCGGCAGCAGCAGCAGCAGTTACAGAACCAACAGTGGTAGCAGCAGCAGGCTTTCGTCGGGCTTTCATTCCGGTCAGCACCAAGACCCAGGCGAAGAGCAAGGGAGTACCTCCCTCGCCCCCCCCCCCCCCCGCCCCCGCCCACAACACACCCACCCACCCCCATCCTCCCTACTCACAACCCCTCTTCTCCACCAGTAGCAGCGCTGCTGTCTTCCCACAGGAGAACTGGGAGGACTGCTAGAGTCTGCATCACAACCCTCCCCCCTCCCCTCCTTTTTTTTTGAATTTTTTTTTCTTTTCTTTCCTTGCTTTGGGATCTTGCTGCTGGAGACGGGAGATGTTCAGAGAAGAGGAGGAGGGACCACAACAGAGTCGGCAGCAGTGGTGGCACTGGGGGCAGCTTGGCACAGAGCGACAGATAGACTGTCCTCAGCATCCCTTCCAAGTCCTCACTACCCCAAGGATGTGAGGAAGGAAAACCTCTTCTGCTGCTCTCTTGACTCAAGCCTGCCCTCCTGTAAGGGAACACCCGCTACTCTTCCGCTGTGATCCAGAGACTGCTTTCCAGCCTTTGGAGGGGCTACGTGGTTTGGACCTCTCTTCTCTGTTCAGTCTCTTGCAGACCCTCTTTCGGCTGCCCCGGGACGGGAAAGAAGAGATCTGGACCAGTCGCGTGGCTGATTACAAGGACTATTAAGAAAGACAGTGAAAGACCACCGCCCTTCCCCCTACGGCCACCCTGTGCCAGCTTTCCCAGACACTCGGGTCTTTTCAACACAACTCTCGAAGAGAAGAAGGGGACCAGGAAGGAGCCCCTAGTCACCTGCTAAGCTGAAGAATTGAGGGTGGGAGGAACCCCAACTGCTTTCCCCTCCGGCCCCTAACCTGCCCACTGCGCTCACATCCCTGACCAGCTTCCCCTCAGGGGTTCTCCTCTTGCCCCCGCCCCCTGACTGCCATGCATTGAGTCCCCGGCCCTGGGACTCCAGCCTGTCCCCGTCCCAATGGGGAAGGCTCCCCACCAGGCTCCGTGAACTAGGAAAAGGCGGCGGCGGCGGTATCGGGGCGCGGAGCGCCCCGCGTTCCGAGCTGCGGCTCGGCAGTGCCCTGCCCCCCCGCCCCCGGTGTGCCTCCTGGAGAGGCTGGAGGGGCCCCGTGGGGGGGAGAGGGGTCGGGGGTGAGCGCACCATGAAGTCCCTCCTCTTCAGCCGCTTCTTCATCCTCCTGCCCTGGGTACTTATCGTCATCATCATGATCGACGTGGACCCCCGTCGGCCCGCGTCCCACCTCGGCCCGCACCCTCACATCTCCCCCTATGCGGCCGGCCGCTGGGGTGCAGCTCCGCGCGGGGGCGTTCCGAGGCCCCAGCTTCTCCCCCGGGACGGCAGCCCCGACGGGGGCCCCCCGCAGGGCGCGGAGCAACCTCGCAACCGCTCGCAGCCGCCTCCAGCTCCGCCGCCGACGCCGCTGCCCACCATCTATGCCATCACCCCCACCTACAGCCGCCCGGTGCAGAAAGCGGAGCTGACGCGGCTGGCCAACACCTTCCGGCAGGTGGCGCAGCTGCACTGGATCCTGGTGGAGGACGCGGCCGGCCGCAGCGAGCTGGTGAGCCGCTTCTTAGCCCGCGCGGGGCTTCCCAGCACCCACCTGCACGTGCCCACGCCCCGGCGCTACAAGCGGCCCGGCCTGCCCCGGGCCACGGAGCAGCGCAACGCCGGCCTCGCCTGGCTGCGCCAGACGCACCAGCACGAGCCTCAGCGGCCGCAGCCCGGCGTGCTCTTCTTCGCCGACGACGACAACACCTACAGTCTGGAGCTGTTCCAGGAGGTAGTGAGCTTCCGGGCACACCTGGGGCGCACCTGGGGCGGGAGGGGCCGCAGGGGGCGGAGGTCGCTCGGGGTTTTGGAGCCGGGAGTCCCGCTGTGCACTTGAGGCAGCTGCTTCGCCCCACTCTTGCACTTGAGTGCGGGTCCCGAATCCTTAATGTGTCACCCGGGAGTAGGTAGAAACACCACCCGCGCTCCTGCACTTCCCCGGTGTTGTTTCTGACCACTCGGGAGCCTCCTGCCCCCGGGGAAGAGAGACATGCAACGGGGGCTCCGGTGCCCTCTTTGCTCCTCCTTTCCAGACTCAGGGATGGGCTGAGTGGGAAACTTCCATTCGACAGACACCACACATGCTAAGCTCATGTTGAGCCTATGCTAAGCTCAACGTAGGTTGGGAGTAAAATCAACAGACTGTTGGTTTTGGAGTCTGAAGACTTGGGTTCGAATCCCAGCCCTGCCACTCAATACCAGTAGGCAAGTCACTTAATTTCACTCGGCTTCAGTTTTCTTTTAAAAGAGTGGAATTCGATGGTCTCTAAGATCTCTTCTCACCCTGAAGCTGTGACCTTACTTGTTTAATGTTTGAAGGGAGGAGCCAAATTTAACCCAACCGGCAATTATTAAGTACTTACTACTTGCCCCTAGCTGTTAGGCCTTGAGGATACAAGGACTGGACAAAAAGCAGCCTCAGGCCTTCAAGAAGTTTACACTCTCCTGTGTGAAATCTTGTAGTTGGGATGAGGTGAAAAAGTTGTAACTTGAACTATGGTATTAATGGTTAAATTGTAGAAAGGATTTGGGGGACTGGGGTAGGGGAAATAGTCAAATCAGAATTCAGCAAAGGAGAAAACCAGAACAGGTAGTGAACCACTTTTTTGATTCAAAACCTTAATTTTCTTTGGTGTAGAGAACTTCTAGTGTGGAAACTCCATCCACCTATGAAAATCTAGATTGCTTTGTAACTTCACAGTATTAGAGAGTTGTCAGATATTGCAAAGTTAAATGACTTACCAGGGTTCATCCTCCCTCTGCTTCATCACTGTCTTCCTGAAGATCTACTGAATGAGGAGAAAGGAAAGATAGGAAGGTTATATTAAAAGACAGCAGTTGAGAACAAGTTTTTCTCCTGCCTTTCTTGTGCACAATTCCATGGCACATTTTATTTGGAAGCAATACACTTGTCTTTTTGCAAATAATTTGACTTTCAAACCTTTAGGATCTGGAGGTTAGAATTAACCACCTTCCAAGAAAAATGGCATTATGGTTCCATGTGTGTATGTGTGTGTGTGTGATTGCCCTTTGCAGAAGTGGCTTTTGCAGTGACAACATCAGTATTCCACTCCGTGGGGCAGGGCCTGACAACAGGATAGAGGACATCTATTCAAGCTGGCCACTTCGCTGCAGGCATGACAAATGTTTACCTTGTGATCCTTTTATATTCTCATACATGCACAGATGTCAGGCACACTTCAGGTTATTATTTCTGGATTTCCTAGAGACAAATGGTGATTTTTTTTTAAACTTTTTTTTTCCTGTAAGAGATACTGAGTTGCAAAGTCAGCCATTCATTCCTTACCTCCTTAAATTTTTACAGTCACTCATACCCCACCAAATAAAGTGGGAGTGCAAAAAATATTTCTATCAGCCTTCATATTTAGACATTTAATCAATAATAAACACAAATCATATCAAATATGGATCCATTCTTTCTGCCTCTGCTTCTTAATGCTCTCTACCTCAGGTCTATAACATGGTTCATTCTCATTGTAACTGCCCTGCTCCTTCTCTGACTTCCTCTGTGTCCAAGTTAATGCCTACCTTCCTAGCTGAAATGTGAGGGTTTTTTTCTAACTAAAGTGTAGAGATCTTTAATTTCTTAAAAGTATTCACAACCTTAATTTTCATTCATTCAGATAAGCATCTATTAAGCATGTGCCAGGCACTGTGCTGGGTTCTGGAGATAGAGATAAAATATGTAAATTTGTACATGCACATACATACACACATACAGTGCTTGTTCTCTAGAGAGTTATGTTGTATTGGGTGGAAAACAACATGTCCACAGATAATACAAAGTGTGCTCGAGCTCAAGCCTGTACACACACCACAAAGTTATATATGTATGTGTATCCACATAGACATATACATATACTTATACATATACATATACTTTGTGTAATCTGTGGACACATTTTTGTATATCCGTATATATGCATGTATGTGTATATACTATGTATGTTTGTATATGTAAGTAATTTGAGGGTATGAAGAGAAGAGAGTCAAAGTAGAGTGGCTAGAAAACTGGCCTTGAAGCCGGAACCACATGGGTCTGGCACATAGTGGCTATTTGGCCCTTTACAAGTCACTTAACCTCTCAGTGATCTAGGCCAGGGATGGGGAACCTTCGGCCTGGAGGTCACTTGTGGCCCTCTAGGTCCTCAAGTTCTGCCCTTTGACTGTGGATGATTTTGGCCTAAGCGCTTGTCAGGAACTCTAAGATGCTAACCTGAATTGGTAGAGAGTTTCTTCTCCCAAGATTTTCTAATACCAGTGAAATCACAGGTCCATTCTGAATCCCTTTTCCCTAATATGGAGGGATGGCAGTAACAACTGAGAGGCTGAGGGAAATCCTCAGACTCTACTCAATCCCTTTCATTCATTCTCTTCTGCCCCATAAAAAACCAGACCAGAACTGACTTTTCCTTTCTTCTTCTCTTCAGGCATGGCTGATTTTCTGCAGAAACAAACAAGGTTAGGGTTTGTCTGATTACTGGAAGGACCGTTGCATTACCCGAGTCAACAAGCATTCATTAGGCAAGCACCTACTATGTTCCAGAGCAGCACAACAGCTTCTTCTATTTAGTTTATTTTTTGCTCATACTGGGGAATTTGTTTTCATTAGAAATGACTTCCATTCAGAATCACAATTATAATTTTAATTCACCATAATTTTACCCCAAATCTCCCCCCTCCTTCACTTGGAAGCTACCTTTAATTGTGAAAGTCTATTGTGTTTGTAAAGTAATTTACACTCCTTTTAATTAACCTGTTAGGAGATTGGATTGTAAAGGAAAATGATTTTCAGTTTATGCCTAGCTTCTAGCCTCTTGATGTGAGATGTGAGGTCTTATTTTTTTTTTCCTGCTGGTGGGAGAATTGGCACATACATGGAAATTCAACTCATCAGAATACAACCTTCCTTCTGATGTCTTCCAAGCTAGAAGGGAGGGTGTTAATTAGTGGACGTTAAACAGCAAGAGGAAGTTCCTGTAGATTTTTTATTGGGGCATAAGAAGAATAATTGCCTGAGTAGAAAAAAGTGTTTTGTATGGGAGGTAGGAAAACTGTATAGATTCCCAGTATGCACTGAGGATATGCACAAATTTTAGGGATGTAAAATCACAGTGAGATATTCAATGTGGGTTCATAACCAGAAAGATGCATGACTGAAAGAAATAAACTTAGACTGTAAAAAAAAAAGCAGTGCATCTGTTGTCTGTCAGATAGAAAGATGCCTCTTATTAAATCCACAGAAGAAATCCTCCCTTCCCCCACACCCACACCTATACGCAAGAACTTTATGGTATGGTTGACACATTTTTAGAATTTAAAACATTAAGCAACTAGAGGGCAGGAATATTGTTTTCCAATTTCTCTGAATTCTCCTCCCTCTCTCCTCTTATTATCCCCCCTCCATATAGTGTTTTATGCAGGTCAGGCATCTATTAGCTCTTAGTCTCTTTTTACAATCTCATTCTTTCATTTGCATAATGAGCAATATTGAATGTTTTGAAAGTCCATTTGATGAAATTTGGAGATTTGTATACTGCTACATTATAATACTTCCTAGTAGTTGAGTTCTTTTTAAACCCTTAATTTATTAATGCAAAATAATTACAAACTCCATTCTAGAATTGAATGGCTTCATATGTATTGAAAAATGCTGCATGGAGTAGTGGACAGAAAGCTGTTCTCAAATCCAGGAAGCCCTGAGTTCAAGCCCTAATTCTGAAATAGACTGGCTTTTTATGTTTTAAATAGCTTTCAAAAGGCTAAATTGCCTTGGTCCTGATGTACATTGGCAGGGAGGAGTTTCCTCAGTTGGAAATTCACAATACCAGTGAAATCACAGGTGCAGGCCCTTTGTATTGCATTATATAGACATGGCATGTACCCTAGTAAGTAGAAGTGAAATCGATATCTGAAAACAAAACTTTCTTTTTGGTGTGGGAATACTATATACTCAAAGAAAAGTAGAGACTCCTAAAGCTAAGATGTTTATTCTATCCTTTTGTCTCCTACAAAAAAAAAAAACCAACACAAAAATACCCCAATAATATAAAACCATTTTTTGAAGAGATTCGAAGCAGTTAAGAAAGAATGTCCCAAGACAGACTTCATCTTTTATTCATGGTATTTCTAATTTCCATGAATGATGTAAAAGTAGATAAGATAAAAGGAGGAAAATGAACCAGGTACAAATTAGCTCCCTATGTATTGGCTGCAAAGGCAGGAAAGTAAAGGATGAAAGGTCTCCAAATTAAATTAAAGGCGCAACAGGCAATCCATGTTCAATTATTTCTCCTTAGTAAGTGGAATGGTAGTTTCTTCTCACATTCAGCTAACTAATTTTCAGACTCCCCTTTCCACCAGGCTGTGCTGGAAGAGCAATGTTTGCATTGAACAGTCCCACATTCATACACAGATTCATTAGCAAATGAAGCTCTGTGTGAATTGTACCAACAGAAACAAAACAGGTCATTTGTGAAGGGTGGTATCAAAGGCTTTTCAACCTTAAAATATAATTAAAACCATCCTTTGCTGTTTTCTCTGCAGCCTTTATAGATTTTTGCATGATTGGATCATGGGTAATCCCTACTCCACCACTAATCTCCCCACCCCCACCTACATGTCCTATTGATCTAATACCCTAGAACAGCTCATTTGCAAAGGATTTAAGTCACCTTAATAAATGTCAGGGTTACAAATAAATGTGACTTT